GTAAAGAATTACGGTCCATGACCAACTGGTCCCCAGTCTTCTCCGTCTGCGCTTGAGTTGTGGCTGGTTGAAGAGGACAGACAAACCAGAACCGATCATTCCATTCTCCCTTGTCTTTGTCGGTGACTGTGACCGACCAAAACCTCTCAATATCCCAACAAAAATGATAATGATAAGCACGACGGCCTCCAGTTGTGAGCTTTCCTAGTCAACATTTAGATAAAAATCACAGACTACAGTGAGTGGCCGATCTCATAAAATATTGACTGAAATTCTAAAATGCGTTATCGACTGGAAAGGATTACTTAGGCGCGGTTGTAATACTGATTACCTTGCGGCATTATCTTATAACATTTCGGACTCGGTGGGATGTTAGCTTTTGAAAACATCGCTTTTCAATCTCCTGTAGAAACCGTACTCGGTAAAAAATGATTACATAAGAAGCATGGGTTTTTCCCATTGATTTTCGATGGTCTTGCAAATTCAAACATATTTTAGAGAAAGCATGAACAAAACTATATTTTCTTTCAGTCGTTTGATAGAGAATTACGTCATCTTTATATTTTGTGCACGAAGAAGGAGTATAATTAGGTTTTGAAAAAGTTTTCCAGTTTTCGAATAATTTGGAGCCTCGTCAGTCGTCGTATGAGCGCTTAGTGATTGAAATCTACAAGGTACACGCGTTCCGCGTAGAGAAAATCACATATTCCTCTATGCCTGTAAAAAGAGACCATATAGAGTTCGTAAAATTTCGCAATGGATGCAGACTATACTGCACATTTCATGAGCAGCAGTGGTAAACGGACAGGTAAGATGCTATTTTAATGGACACTGAGCGGTCTTAAAAAATCTCATAATTAGAAACTTTTTCAAAACCTAGTTATACTCCTTCTTCGTGCATAAAATATAAAGATGACGCAATTCTCTATCAAACGACTGAAAAAACTTATTTTTGTCCGTCTTCTTTTAAGTATATTTGAATTTGCGAGACCATCGAAAATAAGTGGGAAAAATCCATGCTACATAAGTTGTCATCTTTTTTTACCGAGTACGGTTTCTATAGGAGATTAAAAAGCAGTGTTTTCAAAAGCTGTCATCCTGCAGAGTCTAAAACATTCACAGATGATATGGTATTTAGTTTACGCCCAGAGAGCATAATCAGCACCTTTTTAAAAACTTTTTATCCGTCGCTAGCCAACCTCGCCCAGTCGCAGGTTTGGGTGCACCTGGGGATCAAAGTCACGTTACTCCGGTTAATAAACGCTAGTAAGTCCAATGCCCAGCGACCAAGCAGCGCAAGACAGAGACTCCAGTACGGCAAAATCTGGGTTTGTATACGGTTGGCTGACGACGTCTAATTAGCTAGAAATTACCACCTCAATCCCCTTACTTAGTAGTCTCATTCGGTTCATACTACTAGCCACTCTAAATCGAGCCGCAAAGCAACATCAGACGAGTGCGTCTCCTAACCCGGTTGATGAACGCACTTCCCGCGGGTTGGATTTGCCGCACCAATATGTCATGCTGTGCCTGCAAGTAATCCTCATCTGAGCCAACTGTTTCCGCGCTCCTAAGAGACAGTTGGTTGCAGTTCACGAAACAGTTGGTTGGAGTACTTGGAGCCCCGCGTTCGGAAGAATCAAACGGTATAGAGGGATACCACCAAAAGCAAGGGGATGGACTGAAAATTTCCTGATCAGCTATTTTTAATCCGCCAGAGATGTCCCAAGGACTCTGCCACATGAGTCACATGGTCAAACCCAGCTGGCTGCAGAAACAGTAAAAGTCACCTGGAAGAGGGAGCTTCACCAAATCCGACCCGCCGCTTCCAAGTGACACTACCTACTAACGTTTTCCGGCGATCGGGAGCGACTGACTGTGAACTGCCGGTTCGAATATCTGAAGAGCACCCTCGCAGAACGCTGTCCTTGAGGATGCCCTGTACCTGCGTTCGTGGTCAAGTGAGGTGCACGGCTTCGCACACCAGTGCTTGTTGTTAGGCTCTTACAGTCTGCTGAGTAATAATCAACTTACCACCTTTTTGTCTATGCCGCCTGCCACGAGCACGATAGCCTATGACAATCTGTCCGGCTTGGCAGCAGGGAATGAGCACACTGCTTGCGCTGTACGTGACTCAGCATTCGACCTGCCGACGCCGTCACGCCGATTGATCTTTTTTGTCTCCAACGATTGGCCGAAGTCGGACAGATATCAGGCACGGAGTTTGTCCATCGATTTCGGCGATGTCCACCGCGTTCTTCAGAGCAGGATAAGAGCGGGGATGGTGATTTGCGCAGTATCTACCGCACTCCCTCCTCTTCCTCCCACTCCTGGACCCGGTGTCATCACAGAGTCAGAAAAAGCCGGTGGCGAAGGTGGATGGCACGACGAATGAGCCCGCACCTAGGCGTACCGCCACACCACAGAAGCCACAGTATGAAGGAGCCATTGCAACCGCACCCTCAGTCCACCAGTCTGCCACTCAACATAAACACACATGACTGGGCAGACTGCGTGGACTGAGTTGAGGCGTCAGTCGGCAGGCTTCCAAGCCACGGCGTTTGGCGCATCGTGATAGTCTCAGGCTCGGATCGCAAGTGCATCAGAGGAGCCACATGGAGAAGGAGCCGAGAAGCACACTACCCACTTACGTGAGAGGTATCAATTGCGTGCTTGTGTTGTGTGCTGATGGCTGATGCAGTTGCAGTTGCTGACGGGCAAAGGTGTGATGGTGTGGTATGGCCGACGGTGGTCTACCATGGGTTTTCATGGATGCGCATGTGACCTATTAGGCCCATGCGGTGGCCGAATATGCGAGGGCAATGCGGACATTTGAGGCGAATGCGTTCGGTTTCTGTTGGCACTGGTTTGCTAGTTTCCGCGCTATAGATTCGCAGGTGGCCAACCGGCCGATATGCGAGGTGAATGTGTGGCGTCCGCGGCTCCTTGCTGTCTGCCGCTTTGTCACACTGCCCTCCTGTCCGCCTCACACTCCGCTGCTGGGACGCGCGAGGCTTGTCACTAGTCTCACAAGTGCTCAAGACCAATCAACGGTGCCCCTCCTCTGATTGGCTGGCGGCTACTGAGACAGAGCGAAATGCTCACACACGCGGACACAGACCTCGCAACTTGCCTAGACAGACCGCTCGCGGAGACTGCTTGCAGGGCCTTTATGTACACACTTCCTCAGCAGTAAAAGTTGTCCAACCCAATCTGTCTTCCCTGACTTCTGATTAGGGTATCCTTGTCTTGTCGAGCATACCATCCCGACAAATGTGAGGGGACAGTGTGAGCAGGATAGGTCGGGAGCGTCAGAGTCGGTTCCAGTGATGAG